GGCTGGTGCGCGAGATCGCGCAGGACTTCAAGACGGACCTGCGCTTCCAGAGCTCGGCGGTGATGGCGCTGCAGGAGGCGTGCGAGGCGTACCTGGTGGGGCTGTTCGAGGACACCAACCTGTGCGCCATCCACGCCAAGCGCGTCACCATCATGCCCAAGGACATCCAGCTGGCGCGCCGCATCCGCGGGGAGCGAGCGTAAATCTCGTTCCCCAATTGGCATGTGCGCTACCCCTAAAGGCTCTTTTCAGAGCCCCTCAATTCTCAACGGGAAAGGGCTGTTAGCTTACAGAGAAGAAATGGCAGCGCCATATGAACTGCGGTGTAGTCCTCAGTAACCGAGTCACCACACTCTAGTGTGTCTTGTAAACCAAACAGCTTCCGCTGGCCGACCCACTCGTACTGGCCCCGTGAGGAGCAGTTTCTGGATAGCCATTGAGCAGTGACGGTCATTTGGAAAGTCAAACACCCTCGAGTGCAACAAGTGATTAGGAAAGACGGGCCCAAACCTTACAGAAGTTTAATGGGTTATACAAGTAGAAATGCGGCTTATTAATAGCTAGAGTATTCCAGCGCTTTACCTCCAGAAGTAGCCCTTTTGCTTTCGTGTGGCAAGGTGCAGTCAGTGCTTAGACTCTGGAAAGCTTTTAGGAAACAAAAGGAATAGAATAAAAGTAAAAAAATAAAGTAAAATCTGGATAGCTTTTGTTTCCATGTAATATTGAAAAGGTGGATGCTGTGGGCTTTGTGTATGTGACTGGGAAATGGGTGATGGACCTGCAAGGTGTCATGTATTAGAATGAGCTCCCTATGGTTCTGAGAATCTTATGTTAAAATACTTGCACAAGTGTTTTAAAAATGTGCTTGTCAGTATGTCATGGAGTTCCATGATTTTTTTTTTTGTTTTCAAATACGAATCACACTACGGATGAAATCCGAGTTGCCATTTTGAATCTTCCTTGTTTCCACACTTAAAACAGGGACTTTCTAACCAAACTTGGCTGTGTCCCGTATTTCCATGTTTTTAGTCTCCTCACATGCTGTTCGTATTATATGACTGTCAGGGCCTCATTTTGCTGCTTATCGTTTTGGATACACATGCTGACTCCAGGAGGTAGCAGTTCCACAGGGCAGTTCTGAGTGTTTTCTGGCAGGTCAGCCATCTGGGCCTTCCCTTCCTTCCCGTTTTTTGGATTTGCCTTCCAGAGAGAGGCTTATACCTAAACCATTGGCTCCTTGTAAAGCTTTTTGAGAAATCTCAGAATTGATTCAGAAAAGTCTAACTGATGAGGCCAGAAGCCTTTTCCTACAAATTAGTCGAGCTCCTTTAGTGGCTTTCAGGCCTAAAGACAACTTGCTGCCTGTTCCAAGCTTCAAAGCTTGTTCTCGCACCACCCCTTCTAGGACTTTCCCAACATATAGGCCCAGGACCAGATGGTCTACATTCAAACATCTGCCAACAATGAGCTATATGACCTTTGGCAAGTCACCCATCTTCTCTCTGGGTCTTAGCTTATATAGCTGTAAATGTGGCACATTAATGGGAATCTGTAGAGCATCCTTAGGTTAGTTCCTGGCATTTTGTAAATGCTCAGTGTACGTTACCTCATTGTTACAATTCCCTGTCCTGCACCATAAGCATGGAGGGATTCCCCCCAGATCTTCTAAATGTTACATGATTAAAACAATGGGAAACGACTGGTTAGAACGCTTTCTTTTTAGGATCTCCTTTTCTTTAGTTCTTGATTTGCATTGTTCTGAAAGAGGCAGCTTGTAGCAATATACCACAATCTGCGACTATGTGAATGCGTTTAAAACACAGCAAAGGTGCCAGATTGTAGGTTTTGCTGGTCATATATGAACTCTGTCACATTCTTTTTCTAACACAATTTAAAAATCTAAAAACCATTTTTACCCTGAGGGCCATACAAAAACAGGCCGCTGTCCAGTTTGGCTGTAGTTGGCTATAGTTTCAACTCCAGGAACTCCTAGAGAGAAGTGTGTTGGCTACTTCCCCCAGTGTTCCTGACTGCAATTCGTTAAATGTTGATGGGGATGAGGAGTTTGAATGAAGACATTGAGAAAAGCACTTGGAAAACCTGATAAAGTCCGGTGGCAGCTAAACAGATTGTGCTTTTGAGAGCTCCTGAAAGCCCTTGAATAATTTTTAACAGGTTTCAGAGTTGTTCTAAAACATTATCTGGGCTAAGCATTTTTCATCCTTATTTTAATGGATTTGCTTAGGAACTAAAGAGAACACATCTCCATCAAAACCACCAAATTTAAGTTTGAATTTGAATCCAGGTCTTTGGAACCTGAAGACAAAGCAATTGTTATTATTCCTGCTGCAAGGTAGGAGACACTCTGGCAACCGAACATTTCCAAGATGCAAAATACCTGTCCCTAAAGACACTGGCGCTGAAACACCTAAGAAGTAGAACCGGTTTTTAAAGTAAGGCCTATGTGGCTAGTGTGGGGCTAAGCAGGCCCTGCGCTTGTGTTACTTGCTACTGTTAGAAATAAAGTTTATGCCCAAACCAAAGATCCTAGTGTCTTTCCTCCTGCAAAAATCAAAGACCAAACTTAGAGACAAAGCCTTTTAGAAAACGTTGACTTGATAATTAGTAGAAATTTATTGCAACATGCCGCTAAGTAGCAGGATGCCCTAAGCTCATGGATTCCTATGGAAAGCTGAAGGGATTTTAGAAAAATATCTTTCACCAGTTGCGTGTGATTCATGAAAACACAGACAAGTATGTGGACCTGGGGGCTGTTTTCCACCTTTGGAGCTTCAAAGCGTCAAATTCTGTACCATTGTTTTCGTCATTTAATCAGATTTTTTGGGACTAAGAAACACATTTTAGGAGTCCAACCTCGAGAGGCGGCCGCCCGAGGGCGGTGGATCGGACGCCCCACCAATCACAGCGCAGCCCCGGCTTATATAAGCCCGAGCCGGAGCCAGGCAGTACTGCGAACTCTCTCTTTGGATTTTGAATCTCTTTCTTTGGCAGCTACTCCTATTGCCATGTCGGAAACCGCTCCTGCTGAAACGGCCGCTCCGGCGCCGGTGGAGAAGGCTCCCGCCAAGAAGAAGGCGGCCAAGAAGGCGGCGGGCGGGGCCGCCAAGCGCAAGGCGTCCGGGCCCCCGGTGTCCGAGCTCATCACCAAGGCCGTGGCTGCCTCCAAGGAGCGCAGCGGCGTGTCGCTGGCCGCGCTCAAGAAGGCGCTGGCGGCCGCCGGCTACGACGTGGACAAGAACAACAGCCGCATCAAGCTGGGCCTCAAGACCCTGGTGAGCAAGGGCACCCTGGTGCAGACCAAGGGCACAGGCGCCTCGGGCTCCTTCAAGCTCAACAAGAAGGCGGCCTCTGGGGAGGCCAAGCCCAAGCCCAAGAAGGCGGGCGCCGCCAAGCTCAGGAAGCCTGCGGGGTCCACCCCCAAGAAGCCCAAGAAGGCTGCGGGGGCGAAGAAAGCCGTGAAGAAGACTCCTAAGAAAGTGAAGAAGCCCGCTTCCGCCGGCGTCAAGAAGGTGGCCAAGAGCCCCAAGAAGGCCAAGGCTGCCGCCAAGCCCAAGAAGGCGGCCAAGAGCCCGGCCAAGCCCAAGGCGGTGAAGCCCAAGGCGGCCAAACCGAAAGCCGCCAAGCCCAAGGCTGCCAAGCCTAAAGCCGCCAAGGCCAAGAAGGCGGCTCCGAAAAAGAAGTAGGAAGCTGCTCTTTCAAACGGCGACAAAACCCAAAGGCTCTTTTCAGAGCCACCCAGAGACCTCTAGAAACAGCTGTGCACTGCAGTGCGTCGTCAGCAGCGTGGGGGCGGTGGTTGGTTTACTTCTCCCCGGAGCAACCCCGTCGTTTTCTACTTGTATTCCTAATGAAGGTTTTCATTTTCGGTATTTATAAAATGAAACCGACAAACATGAGTGAACACAGGTGCTTTATTTAGTTTTAGATTCTAAAGCCATAGATACTGGATGTGCCAACCCCATCTGTAAAACTCTTAAAAAAGATCTAAGATTAAAAACGGCAGGCTGTTTATTTTGATTTTTGAACATAGGTGCTTATGTATAAGAACAAAACCCCGTGCTATATATACTGTGATGAGTAACTTTGTATGGTGGGGAGGAAGCTTTACTGGTTTTGTTTTTGGTGCCTCCGAATTTTGATGCTTTTTCACATTTGCCACAAGGTTTTGTCACTGCACTTGACTCACTGATGATTTACATTAACTAGTAAACTAAAAACAATGTTGAGGTTGTAGGTTGGGGAGGTACAGACTGAATTTTTTTTCCTTTTGAACTAAGACAACAAGAACACGAGCTGGTGAGGTATTTTAAAAATTGTCCTGAAGGCCTCATTAAAAAATCGTGTACATCTCAAGCGTCATATAGTGAATGCTATATAGTTACAAGGATGTTTTACACACTCCACGTAAGCCACGAGGAGCGCTCCAGAATACTGTGTCCCCAGATCATCTATCTGAAGTGGCTGCTTACTGAAACCGCTTGCCAAATTAGTTACGTGAATTTCCAGTGCACACTGCTGAAGGGTTAGGATAAACTGGTGTCCCAGCGCTTTTCTAAAAATCCCTTAAGTGGCTCAGAAGTCTGGTTTCTAACACGTTGCTTGCTCTCTCTGTGGAGGACTGACTGCGGGACCACTATGCGCTAGCTAAGCTTTTAACATTCTAAGCCAGGCGCACCGACGGCCTTAATTACCTGTGATCAAGTATCTCTCTGCATCCATTTTGGTGGGCTAATAGTAACTTGTTTGAATTATCATTTTCAAGCGGATAGTTCCTTGCCCCTCTGCAGCGTAAGTACTGACACCTACTGACCAACTGCGGCAAATGTCCCTTTCAATGACAAGGTTAAGTTGAGGCAATGCGAGCGCTTTCACTGCAAAGGTGGGTGGCTCTGAAAAGAACCTTTGGTTTGGAGTGGACCTGCTAGAGCTGCCGCCGAGGAAGCGGGCCTCTACTTGCCCTTGGCCTTGTGGTGGCTCTCGGTCTTCTTGGGCAGCAGCACGGCCTGGATGTTGGGCAGGACGCCGCCCTGCGCGATGGTGACCTTGCCCAGCAGCTTGTTGAGCTCCTCGTCGTTGCGGATGGCCAGCTGCAGGTGGCGCGGGATGATGCGCGTCTTCTTGTTGTCGCGGGCCGCGTTGCCCGCCAGCTCCAGGATCTCGGCCGTCAGGTACTCCAGCACGGCCNCAACACACCCCACTGATTGAGGGCAGGTGGGACCTGGAGTCCTGCTGGGCCAGTGAGGCATCGGTGACCTCAGTGAGGGCAGCTGTAAGGGGTCTTGACCCAGGTAGGAGCTGCAGCCAGGGGCGTCCTGACCAGGGCTAGTTCCCTCCTGCTGCTGCTCAGCTCTATCTGCCTACCCGCCCTGTCAGGGTGACAGGACTCCCCAGGCAGTTGTGTAAAGTCTAGGATTGCAAATTCCTCCGCTGGCGGGCTCCCGTAACATGAAGCACAGGGCCCAGCAATTCACCCCTGGTGCTGACCCAGCTGCACAGAAAGCTCCACACACACCAAAGCTGCACATGGGTGGTTTCAGCAGCTTTCTCTACAGTCACCAACGAACTGGAAACAACCCAATATTCTTTAACTGGGAAATGGATGAACCAAATGGACACGTTCCACACAATGGAGCCCCACTCAGCAATTTAAAGAGAAAGCAAAGGACTGATCCGTGCACCACGGGTGCCCCTCAAGTGCATGTGCCAAGTGCCGGGAGCCTGGAGCACTCCAGCCTGCACAGGTCCATTTTAATGAGGTTCCATGAGGCACATCACTNTCACGTCCCGGGAGATCCAGACGGCCGTGCGCCTGCTGCTGCCCGGGGAGCTGGCCAAGCACGCCGTGTCCGAGGGCACCAAGGCCGTCACCAAGTACACCAGCGCCAAGTAGACTCGCGCTCCAAAGGCTCTTTTCAGAGCCACCCATGTTTTCCAGAGAGAACTGTCACTTATTTTATCCTACAGAAGAGGTAGGTAAAGGCAATTTTCAATCTGTAAACCTTGTAAACGCTTAGTCGAAAAAGTCCCATTTGATATGTATGTTTAAAATAAATTTATCTGTTAACATTTTTAACATTACAAATATTGAACACCTCACAAATTTTAGCGTGCTGCTTTAACTTAACATCCAGACTGAATTTAATGGTTTAGAGTCCCCCGCTGAGTAAATCCTTTGCTGACCAGAAAACTTATGACGCTCTTTAAGATGAAAAAAAAAAAATTACCAACTCCTACTGAGAATCATTAGAAGGTAAACTTCCTTTACACTCAGCTGCGGTTCTCAACCTGGGGGTCGAATGACCCTTTCACAGGGGTCGCCTAAGACAATCGGAAAGCAAAAAGATATTAACATTATGATTCATAACAGCAAACTTACAGTTATAGAGTAGCAATGAAAATAATTTTATGGTTGGGGGTCACCACAACATGATGAACTGTAATTAAGGGGTCGCAGCATTAGGAAGGTTGAGAACCGCTGCTTTACAGGTTACCCCAGCAAACCCCCCTTCCCCGCACCCCCTATAAATATATCAATTGATTTAAAGGAAACTCCCCAGGTTGTGTTTCCTTTCGCTTATTTTGTAATGTCAGTGCTGATATGTGCCGTTTGGGCATCTCTAGGCCTTTGTTTGCACAGAAGAACCCAGTGGTGTTGGGATGCAGGTGGAGGAAGAGGAACTTGGAAGCGAGGTAATCCCGCACCTCTTTTCACCAGTTAGGGATGGTCATCGCTGCATCCAGACGTTCCTCCCGCAGTTTGAATTTTTCTACCTTGCCTTCTGTACATGTTCTATACTCACTTTAATATTTCACCTCTTTTAGGATGGCGTCTCTTGTTCACTGCGATTTTCACATTGTCAAGTTTACTTGGGGAGAAGTTTGAGAATGGAAGTCAGCTTTCTTAATTTCACTAATAAGGGGGAAATTCTAAGTGAAAAGGCAATCTCTGAACCCTGAAGGACAGTGGCAGGGAAGCAGTCTCCCACTGATTAGGCAGGAATTACAGAGATGACGGCTTCTCCAGGAATCAATGTGGAAATAAATACAAGTCCCTTGCATTCTATACGCTGTCAGATAAGATCTTAAATGCCAACATCTTTATTGTTTTTCTACCTGTTTTCCTTTTCCCATCAAAAGACAGGAGGCCTTAGGCTGTGGGAAAAGCACAAAATTTGGGCTGAATTTATGAGCTAAGGGAGCAAAGAACAGTTAAGCCAAATCTGCAGACATAAGCCAGTGGGTGTCTTTCCTGGAAAAGGTGGCTGGGAACACAAATAGAATGTTTACGGGGCTTAATATTCATTTCTTTACTAGACCAGTCAACATTGAATATAAAGTTGGTGATGTTGCTGATGAAGTGAAGAAGTTAACTAATGCTAGGCTCACATGAAGCGCACTTTATGGCTGTTGTTTATCCATATAATGATGATAATGAAATGGCCATCAGTCAGTTTTCTGTTCACTCCTGCACCCAGTGATACTCAGCTTCAATTATGCATCAGAATTGCTGGTGGTACTTTGAAAAAAATATCACAGTACCTAGCCCCAACCCCAGAGATTCCGATGTAATTGACCAGAGAAGGTGCTGGTCATCAGGGATATTTGAAATTCCCCAGGTGATGCTGATGGCTGGGAGGGTTGAGAGGCACAATGCCCTGAGCCTCGTGTGGGAAGCGGCCTCTAGGCTGGCACCCAGAGACCCCACCTACTGATATTTGCGCCCTTGTGGAATCCTTACACTGTAGCAGGGTTGGTCAACAGGATGTGTGGTAGAAGTGATGGTAGGTCACTTCCGAGGTTAAATCAGAGACTTCCTTCTTGATCATTCCCACTCTTTCTTGGACTACTTGCTTCAGAAGAAGGAATCCAGCCCAGGATGAGTGACCCCACAGAGACTCATGGAGAACAGGCCTCCAGCTAACTGCATCAGAAGGGACCCTCTTCTTGGACCTTGGAAGCTCCAGCTCCAGTCAAGCATTTCTTGACTGTAATCTCGTGAGAGACCCTGAACCAGAACAACCCAGCTAAGCTGTTCCCACATCCCTGACCCTCTGAAACTCAGGTAATAAATGTTTGCTGACACGCTACTGAATTTTGGACTAATGTGTTACATAACATATTTAGTTGATAATGTGCATATACCTACTAAATCGTAACAATTTTTGCTTTCAAGGTCGAACCTTATTATACCTTTTCCAAGAACCTTCCCAGATTGCCACATTCCAGAGTATTTACTCCGTCCCGATTCCTACAGCAGTTAATATTAAATATAGCTTAATATAATATAAATTATTATATATGATATCTTTTGTACATAAGAAAATAATTGGTATTATATTAATATATGGTTACACATTTATATAGCATATATAATTTATGTAGAACTATAACAATAGTATTCTGTCATTTACTCTTGTGACATTGCATATATTTACTCAGTATTGTTCAGTTATTTGAGTTCCACTATTCCAATTTTTTCTTCCTTTTGCTGTATCTGGGTGTAATCTAGAGTATTATTTACTTAATATTTTTCTTTAAACATACTCTTTAGAAAATAAAATCAATGTATTTCAAAAGACAACTTTAGATCACTACCCTAGTAGAACATTTCTACCTCTGACTATAAACAGAAAGTAGCTATGCAACAATATATTTTTTTAAAACCCCAGTATTTTTCAATTCCAGTCATGCTGTTGCTGCCTATTATATTGAGCTTGAGACCTGTTCTTTATTATCAAGTTGAAAGGGGGTGGGGTGCATTTGGGAAATGTTAGTGGAGCCTTAATGACCTGCTACTTAATCAGAAAGATTTAAAGAACATAAAAAGAATGATATTTTCACTCTCTGTTTCAGCATTTTAAACACCAAAGTTCACACACTATTTACAATAACTTCCTGTGCCCCCTGTGGTACTTGGTACAGATCTAGGAAAATCATTGCCTTACAGCTACATCCACAACCGCCCTGCCCCACACACTAACCCCTGACCCAAAAGGTTCTGAGGAAGTGTCGGAATGCCGAGACCCGGTGGAATGATATCAGTTATCTCCCTTAATTTGTATAGGACGCAGCACAGTGGCGCTGTCCTGTGGGCTATGCAGGCTGTGTGACGGCACAGTATATGTTGGAGTACCATGGGAGCTGGTTAATGGAAAACAGCCTTAAGGCACGTGACACACGGGTCTTTGAGTAACCCAGTTTCACTTCCTTGAAAGTATCTCAGTAAAAGCCATGCGTCGGCCCGATTCAAGGCTCAGTCCACGAGGCTGATGCCCCCTGGTCCCGCTTTAGCCTTATCTCTGTGTCTTGTGCTCTTTAACTCTGTGTCACCCCTCTCACTTCCCACTGCCCTTGCCTCGCAGGACGTGACATCTGGCGCGCAACCGTGGGGCTTGAAGAGGGAAGGAAGACTTCGAGTCTGCATCAAGGGTTTCAAGGCGCAGGGCCTGGGACGGGCCGGCAATCTACCTGGTAAGAGGTAGGGAAGGTCCCGAGGAATTTAACCGAGGTAAACGGGAATTAACCGAACAATCTTTGTGTGAAAGAGTGTGAATGTGTGAGTGATTGATTATAGTTTCAAGGCTAAATCAGTCNTAAGGTACATCAGCTGCTAGTTAAAGTTGGGATGATTTGAGCATGAAAAGAGTATTAGTAATAAGCTGTAACACATTAAATTTTAAAATAATCCATGAGATAATTATTCTCAAAAAACAAGAGCGGGGAAAAGCTCTCGTTCACAGAAGACAGCAGATAATAAATGCAGAAGGAATGGTGACACGAGGGAGTCAGCACTTTGCAATCCATGGTGTCAGCCATTGGCTCAGGCAAGGATCGCCATGGGGCTCAGGCTGCTGGCGAGAGGTTGCTGGACAGCAGGGGATCTGTGGGCGCAATGCATCACCATCCCAGTACTGTCAATCAAAGGGGGAAAAGTACCTTTACAAGGACAGAAGGATCTGAGTGCACCAGTCTTGATGTAGTGAGCAAACGCAGCATCCCAAGTCGTGGGGACACAGGCACTGTGTGCTCTCTGGTGCAGGGGGGAGCCCAGTCGCTCCCTTGGGGCACTCTTGTCAAAGCGAGCCCAGAACCCACATGAGGAGACAAATAGATTGAGAATGAGAGCCATCCTGACCTGACATCATGAAAGACAGAAACAGAAGGGCAGCGAGACGAAGAGAGCCTGAAGGGCCATGACCACCAAACCGAAACCTTGACTGGATCCTGGATTATAAAAAAAGCCGTAGGAGAGATTTTAGAAGGAATTAGGGAAAAGGTGTAGAACGAACCCCATGTGGCTCAGGCACCGAGAGATACCTGGCCAAGGAGACAGCAAAACGAGATGTCGATGGCATGGCCACCGTTTAATGTAACATTTTATTCTAATTTCCTTGGGGATTTGATCTTTGCACTGTAATTCTTCCTGGGTAATGTGATAAGGCAATGCAGTTTGTTTTCAGCGTTGGAGAACCTAACATAATGATGTCGTTGGCTCTCACTGCAGAACTTCTGATGGACTGCTAGGAAACACAGATGAAGTAAACTGGGACTGGTGGCAGAGCAGGCACGGTGTGACCTGGAGTGCGCTCTCATTGGCGCATTGTTCTGATCATTTCAGGGCTGCGTAGGGACCAAACCCCAGTGCCAGCAGCGTTCTGAGGAGGCAGCACACACGAGGCTGCTTTCAGGGGGCAGCTTCCTGTAGGAGGGATCTGTGTAGATATTCTATCTGCTGACCATACTTCCGATTGTCCACACTTGTAATGGGTGAGCCCAGCGGGCTGGACAACCATGTGAGAACGTTACAGTTTTCCCAGAATGCCCCCTTGCTCTTCCCTCGCTGGTGTGTGACGGCCGTTGGTTCAGCCGTCTTCATCGGCGAGTCCACACCAGCCAAGTCCTAAGCACAGGGATTCTTCTTTGCCCGTCCTCTCTACCCAGGACCTGTGTACCCCTGCGACCTACATGAGTGTGTCTGCTCTGGGGATTGGAACTTTCCCAGGTTCTGTCCAATACCAGCCTGGATGGCAGGCAGTTAGGCAGCCCATCCAGTTCTCACGCCTCATCTCTATTAATCATTGTATGAGTCAGGGTCCTCCCGAGAAACAGAACCAAGAGTGTGTGTGTACCAGATAGATAGATAGATACATACATACATACATAGGGATTCATCAGCGGCAATCACATGGGGTTGTAGAGGCTGATTAGTCCTGCATTTGCATTTGGCAGACTGCAGACCCAGAATAGCTGAGGAAGCAGTTCCAGTTCCAACGCCAGCACGTTCAAAACCCAACAAAAGCCAGTATTTCAGTTTGAGTCCAAGACAGTCAGAAGACCGATGTCCCAGCTTGAAGCCAGTCAGGCAGGACCCTGTTACTTGTGGGAGAGTCTGTCTGTTTTGTTCTAGCAGGCCTTCGACTGATTAGATGAGGC